ACACCTATCAGTAGTTCCAGCTCCAAGGGATTCAATGCCCTCTTCTGAGCTCCACAGGCATTTGACCACATGGCAAATACTCACATGGACACGTAAATAAGAATAATGTTTAAAGAAGGAAAGAAGCCAATCTGAAAAGGCTACATGCTCTAGGAGTCTAAATCAACCTCATTTTGTATGAACTGTGTAGTACAAAGTTGGATGGTTGCCAGAGTAGAGTGGGTGTCTGGGGGTGGAGAGAGGAATGAAGAGACCTAGAACATTATTTTCAAAGTAGTGAAATAGTCTATGCTAAAACTATAGGCACATGCCATCCAACCCCATATAAAAAAGCACCCTCAAATACACTCTAATACATCAATGACAGACTTTGGTTGATCGCCCTGCAACAATCAATACTGACTCCTTACTTGTAACACATACCAGGACAATACAAGGTGTTCATAATAGGAACCGAGCTGGAGATAAAGCTCAGTGGGAGAATGCTAGCTCAACAGCTAGGGGCTAGCATGTGCAAATCCCTGGGTTCAGTTCTCAGCACCACAAGGGAGGATAATTATGATAATGATATAATAGGAAGAAGAGGAACTATGGGAGGAGGAGGGTAAGTAGGCTCAGTTTTCCCATATACCTAAAACTAATAAAATAATAATAATAATATCATAATAAAGTGTATTACTTTTTTGTTGTTTTTTTTTTTAAGGTTTCTCTGTGTTGCTTTGGAGCCTGTCCTGGAACTTACTCTGTAGACCAGGCTGGCCTCGAACTCACAGAGATCTGCCTGGCTTTGCCTCCTGAATGCTAGGATTAAAGGCATGTGCCACCACTGCCCGGCATGTATTACCTTCTTAAAGTACCGCAGTGGAGAACACGAGGGATGGGCAAACAAAGTCTAGGCAAGCATGGTAGGAAAGAGCATTGTACACAAGCAGTAACAACAGCAAATATGGTTTTGTTGGCTTGCTAGCTTGTTGCTGTTGCCGTAATCAAATGGTCAGTGCCTGTGGTTGGACTCACAGGCTTAGTTTAGAGGGTTCAGCTGGAGGAAGCAGCTGAATAGAGTTGGTCGGGCAGATACAGGCTTGAATCCTGAATGCGTCTGCTCCTCACTAGGCATGTGGTCCTAACAAGCCCCTGCTCCACTCAAGCAGTCCGGGGACACTGAAGGAAACTTTGATTCCTGCCGTGGAGCCACAGGAGAAGGAAGGGCTTAAAGTTTCAAAGGGAGAATGAACATTGAACGGAAGGAGTTTGAGGGATCCTCAGAAGAGTCAGGGAAGTGAAAATACAAAGAGTTACTGCAAACGGTATCAGGCCACTTGGTTGGCAAAAGCCAAAGTCCAATTCATGTGCTCACAGAGACCGGGAAACAGTGGCTCATTCTCAAGTCCTGGCTGCAACAAAGGGTAGACTCTGGACAGCTAGAATTTTCTCAGGAAGGCATGAAGACAGATCAGGTCATCTTAGGAATATGGCTTCCAAAAGTTGGAAACCATTCTTTTTTTTTTTTTAAGTATTCCTAGACTGAGGTTAACATTCAGTGGACTAGAATCAAGAGATTAGTCAGAGCCAGGTGTGGTAACAAACACCTTTAATCTTAGTCCTTGGGAGGCAGAGACAGGTGGATCTCTGTGAGCCTGGTCTATAGAAGAGTTCCAGGACAGCTTGGGCTAAGTAGAGAGACCTTGACTCAAAAAGAGGGGTGGAGGGAAGATGTTACTCAAAATGACTCTTTGTGTCCAAACTAGTTAATTAGCCCTGTTCTTTATAGATAAAACTGTGTGAGCACCCACATTTTGTCAAAAACTGTGTCCCGATCTTTCTTGTTCACCTTGTCAGCTTTCCTGCTCAGCAGGTCCCTAGCCTGGGAGCCTAGAAGGCTCAGCCATCTGTCCCCTGAAGGAAAAGACTGAGGACAGGTGGGAAAGCAGAGGTGGAAGGAGCCTGGGGACAGTGGAACCATCGAGGCAGAGGCAGAAGGAAATGCAGGCAGACCCAGACAGCCGCCAGCCTGGATGCTTCAGGCGCCACACAAATCGAGAGCTTGGTCACCCTGGGACTAAAAATGCAGAGGGGCACCCCAACAGAGACCTCACATGACCTCCAGAGGCTTCCCTCCAAGCTCAGGACAGCGGAACAAAAGTCATCAGGAAACATCTAAGAGGAGAAGAGAGAACCAGTAATTGCTGCCCAGCTACTCGCTGGCTGGCTTCGGAAACCCAGGGAAGAGACGGGTCTCTGTTCCTTCTGAGCCTCGCAGGAGCCGAACCTACCCACTAAGGGCACTTGGAAGCCCAGGCTGCATCCCTGGGAACTCTCTTACACCTGACAGGTGAGGCAGAGGGTCCTGCCCAGAGGATCATCTAAAACACCGAGGAATGCTGACCCCACCTGCCCTAGCAAAAAGGTAATGAGCAATCCCCTCTACAGGCGGTGTGTGGGCGCCTGGGCTCTGCCTAGAATTAAAGTGACAGCTAACCCTGAATTCCTGCCTCTGGAATGTGCTTTAGTGAATCTTTGCCAAAACTTGCGAGGAACTCAGCAATCTGACTCGGAGCATAGGATCCGCGGCCTGGACAGGTGGAACCGCGCAGGATGTTGACTGTGGAACTGTGTTCCTTTGTGGCCGTCAGAGTGCGGCGGCTTCGACAATGGTAGAAAAGTTTAAAATTCAGTGACAGCAGATAAAGGTTGGCAGGTAATAGGCATTGTTTTGTTTTCTTTCGTTTTGCTTTGTTTTTGAGACAAGGTTTCTCTGTGTAACTCTTGCTGTCCTGGAACTTGCTCTGTAGACCAGGCTGGCTTTGAACTCAGGGACCTGCTTGCCTCTGTCTCCTGAGTGCTGGAACTGGCAAGTGTCTGAGTTCAAGACCAGCCTTGTCTAGCATGGTGGGGCCCACCTTTAATCCCAACAACTGGGTATAAACCACTCCAGGACAGGCCTCATGTTCAGAAGTAATTGACCAACATAGAATGGACTCCATAGTTTTGTGTGTGTGCCTTTACTTGGCTACAGGTTAGTGTTTGGGGGGGGTTGTTTTCTTTTGGGGCATAGTTTCATTTTGTTTTCTTGGGTGAGGGGTTGTTGTTGTATTGTGTTTTTGTTTTTTAGAAAGAACAAGTTGGGTGGGTTGGGAGGGGGAGAGCATCTGGAAGGATTTGGCGAAAGGGGAACTATGATGAACAAATACTTAAACTTGAAAATTGTTTAAGTAATAAAAAATTAATAAAAGTCTTGATTGGTCTACATAGCAAGTTCCAGGACAGCCAAGTCTGCACAGTAAGACCACCTACCGTGGTGTGGCAAGCTCATCCACCTCTGTGTTCACCATTACTGTGGTTTGGTTGGTTTGTATCCCCCCAAGTACACCATTTGTAGACGATTGGTGCACAGTGTGGTAATACCGAGGTGGTGGGCCCTTTAGGAAGCAGCTGCAGTGGGAGGCTGTTAAATCACAGGAATGGGCCCTCAGATGGATGGGTCGTTTCTCTCTAGAGCAGTTATGAAAAAGCGAGAGTGGCCTCCCTCCCCTCTCCCTGGACTCCTCCTGTCAGCGTAGTGGGCTCTTCTTTTTACTCTCATTTCCTCCCTACCACCATCCATCAAGTCCTGGTCCGTGATGATGGGACAGAGCCAGGAAGTCCCCAGAGAGCTGGTGCCATGCTGTTCAGATGCTAAACTGAGTGAATAACCTTTTTTCTCTGTCAATTACTCAGCCTGGGTTATTTTTTTTTCTTTTTTTAGTAAAAACAGGAAATGGGTTAATGTAACTACATTCCGATACGGTGTGGGCTTTATTTTAGTTTGGTAGCTTTCCATGGTGCACACATTCCTGCTGCAGTGTGCATTCCTGGATAAACTTTCTAATCTTTGGGAAGCCTGCTTGTTATTTAAGTTTACACCTGGGGACCGAGAGGAGTTCTAAATTCTAATTCTGAGACATAAAATCAAGAGTCTCCTTATCAACCATATAAAAACTTCACATTTAAAAATCATAGAAATATAAAAGGCAAAAAATGTGACGGCAATACGGAAAAACACAACACACTGGGAAATAATGGATTGTGTATTCGTCTCACATTGCTGACGTGAGTACCGAGGAATCAGAGATAAGAGCTCACAGGGCCACTCAAAGGAGGTTCAGCTTGCTCTGAACACATAGTTGCTTTGGTGGTTAGGGACAGAGTAAATAATGTTTAGTTTTAATTGTCAACTTGACACACAACCTAGAATCATCTCAATCTGACCGTAGGCATATCTATGGGGAACTGTCTTGATTGGTTTGATTAAGATAGAAAGACTCATCCATTGTGGGTGGTACCACTCCCTGGGTTTGGGTCTTGAACTGTTGAAGTGTAAGGATAGAACTGAACATGCCGGGCAGTGGTGGCACACGCCTTTAATCGCAGCACTCAGGAGGCAGAGCCAAGTGGATCTCTGTGAGTTCGAGGCCAGCCTGGGGTACAGAGTGAGATCCAGAAAAGGTGCAAAGCTACACAGAGAAACCCTGTCTTGAAAAACCAAAAAAAAAAAAAAAAAAAAAAAAAGATTCAGAGGATGGAACTGAACACAGCAAGCATGTATGCATTTATTCTCCCTGCCCTTGACTGGAAAAGTAACAGGCTGCTTCAAGTTCCTACCTTGACTTTCCTTCAGTGATGGACTGTATGTAACCTGGAATTGTATGCCAAATAAGCCCTTCCTCCCTTATGTTGCTTTTTTGTCAGAGTATTTTATCACAGCAATAGAAGTATAAATAAATAAATAAATAAATAAATAAATAAATAAATAAATAAATAAATAAATAAGACAAGGTGGTTCCGAGAAGAAAGACCAACCTTCCCCAAGGCTCTGAATAGAAATTGGTACCACTGTAGTGTCCTGAGGAATGAAGGATCAAAGAATATCCTGGGTCAGAACCCTCAGCAACAATGGCCATCCTCTGAATGGGCAAGGGAAATTGGGAAGACTTGCTTCCAAGGGGACATGTGGGTCGTAGCTGTGACCAGTAGAAGGGACACATAATCATATTAAGAGGTAACATGTATCACACACGTGAGTATAAATCAAATACTACAGCAAGCATTCTGGGTAACAATCTTATTAAGTATCAAAATGGCTCTACATAAAATGTGATATTATACTACACAGAGTACAGAAACTGGTCACTCAGGCTTGGAGATCAGTATTATGTATCCAGTGGCATGCAGCCATCCTCGAGTCATTTAATTACATCGGGCCTTGGCTCCATCATCTGTAAAAGATGCAAATAAGAGTAAGTATGTGAAGAGAAATGAAGGGGAGTTAATAACTACAATGTGTTTGATATCATAGAGGCCATATATGAGTGATTAATCTAGGCCAGTGGTCCTCAACCTGTGGGTCAAGGTCCCTCTGGGGGTCAAACAACCCTTTCACAGGAGTCACCTAAGACTATCAGAAATACCAGGTATTTACATTACTATTCATAGCAGTAACAAAATTACAGTTATGAAGTAGCAATGAAAATAATTTTTTGGTTGGGGGTCACCACAACATGAGGAACTGCTTTAAAGGATGCAGCATTGGGAAGGTTGAGAACCACTGTTGCAGACCATCTTGGTTTGTGTATGTGAGCTTTGTGAGGACAGACAACTCACTTTTCACATTGAGCTGTGTTTGTGTGTGTGTGTGTGTGTGTGTGTGTGTGTGTGTGTGTGTGTGTGTGTTGCCCAAATAAGCAAGGAAGAGGGCAGAAACAGGCAACTCCATCAGCAGTAGCCTCCAACAACAGAACCCTGGCTATTCTCACCTAGAGGAAAACCAATGCAAAGTGCCCCTTTTATGTTCCAAGATCCACTGGGTTAGATCAACATCCTCCAGCTATCCAACTTTGACTTCCAGCACAAAGTGAGTGAGACTAGAACACTGTGTCTCTCGGCAGAGTCAGCAATCTTAGTGGGTCCATTAAGTTCCCACAGGCGAGGTGAGTTTCCTGGGCTGCCTCAAGAACAAAGATACTAAACTCCTAGCAAAGGCCAAGCAGCCAGGTACTTGAGGGACAGACCCTCTAGGGTCCAGGAAATCTATTTGTTTCTTTATAATCAGACAAATCAAAGTGGGGTTTAGGGAGAACCAGGGGGAAAAATGACTCATAGAGGCAATCATTAGATTATGAGAAGGATACCAGGCCTAGGACTCTGCATCTTCCAAGAGCTCTCTCTGCTCTGAGTGAGTGTTGGGACTGGGAGGAGAGGTGTTGTAGGAAGTCCCTGCAGCAGACACAGTGAAAGCTAGGTGGTATTGCTGACTACGCAGCCTTCCACATACCCCTTAAGACCCTGTTGATCCACTGCATAGCAGTTTTCTTCTCTAAGTCAAAGTCTTCTGCCGTGATTCGAAAGCATAGTTCTAGAGGTGGGGGCAAAATCAGTGGGGCGTCTCTTCTATGAGGCAGCAACAGAGGGATCTTGCGCCTCACAGGCTTTGGGATATCAGGCGCAGGGAGGCCGTTCCTTGGGTCTTCTTGCTTGACTTGAGGATCATCTGTGATAGCTGCTTTCTTGGCCTTCCTCTTTTTCTTTTCCTTTTTTTTCGAGTTACCTGGAGCTTCAGGGCCTTTCTCGCTGCCTTTCTTTGGAGCTCCCTTCGACCGCGATGAGGTGGAGCTGGGGAGTGGCAGTGCAGCACCTGGGATAGGGTCACTTGAAGCTGAGCGACCTTTCTCTCTGCCTTTCTTTGCAGCCCGCTTTGACCGGGATGAGGCTGGGCTGGGGAGCGGCAGAGCGTCTGCAGCAGCCCCTGAAGCAGCGCCGGGGGCAGCACCTGAAGCACCACCTGGAGCAGCATCTGCAGCAGCACCTGAAGCACCACCTGGAGCAGCATCTGCAGCAGCACCTGGGGCAGCATCTGCAGCAGCACCTGAATCAGCAACTGGGGCAGCACCTGAATCAGCACCTGGGACAGCGCCTCGAGTTGCACGTGCAGCATCGCCTGTGGCAGCCCATGAAACGGCGCCAGGAGCAGCAGCACCTTGGGTAGCACCTGCAGCAGCAGCTCTAGTAGCATCTGCAGCAGCATCTGGGACAGCACCTCGGGTAGCATGTGCAGCATCGCCTGTGGCAGCCCATGAAACGGCGCCAGGAGCAGCACTTTGGGTAGCACCCGCAGCAGCGCATAAAGCAGCACCAGGGGCAGCACCTCCGGTAGCATGTGCCCGTGCAGCAGCACCTGTAGCCGTGCCTAAAGTAGTGCCAGGGACAGCAGCTCGGGTATCACGTGCATAAATTCTCTCCGGTGGCCACTGTGCTAGAGTGGAACTGTAGGAGCTGGCAATGGCATTTCGTTTGTATGAGCTCTTGAAGGCTACCTGGGATTTTTTAAGACAGCTCTTTGCTAAGTTCTTGAAATAGATATCCCTACCCAAAGGACCCGGCCTGGGTATAAAAGAAGAGAGCACATTGTTGACAATCAGACGTCCAAATGCAGATGGGGCACTCACATCACCATCGGAGTCCTTTCCCTGACCAGAAGGCCTCTTGGTGACCGGGGAGTCTTTCTCCTGCTTGGCAGATCCTTCACCTTTTCCCAAGGTAATGAGGTCTTTCTTTTTCTTTGCTCGCATGCTTTTGCTTTTGCTTTGGCTGCTCTCTTGGAGAGCACTAATCTGTATCTCCTTCCTAGATTGAGTCGAGAGGTAGCCAGTGAGGAAAGACCATATAATCAGGAAGGGCTGCGCCAGAACAAAACTGAGCGTGGCTCTGCCCTTAGTGGAGACCACCTTCAGAATCGTTGAGCTTCGGGGCATCCTGGAAGCTGACAGAGTCGGCACTGAGTCATGCTGGCCACACAAGAACATTGAGGAAAAGACTCCCATGAGTAAGTCCCAAGCCTTCTCCACGGCATATTGCTTCGTGTGGACAACCGCCACGCGCCCAGGGTGCTCCTGGGAATCCGCTAAAGCCTCATCATCTTCTAAAGACGGGCTGCTGTCAGCCATGTTCAGACACTCGTCCATGGAATTAACCCAGGGAGACCGGGGAATATGGTGGACTGGTGGTGGGGGCCTCTTCTGTAGGTCCCCAGTGGGCACAGTCAGGAAAGGACGGCGAGGGCAAACCCGGCCAAGCCGGACAGCTCTGCACGATCGACGCCTTCAAATGGAGTCAACGGTTCAGAGACGCTTCCCTGCTGCCGAAGGAGCCCACAGTAAGGCACGCACTGTGGAACGTGTTGCCTATGACGCGGCACTGGAACGTGTGAGCGAAGAAAGGGCACGAGCAAGGGCCACGCGAGGGAAGGGCGCGCGCTAGGACCCCCTGTTGCCGATAAAAGTGACACTGGGTCTACCTGCTCTCTTGTCTGGAGGCCGGTAGACAGCCCCGCCCTGCACTGTTGGAACCCTGTGACACTGAGGTGCCCCAGCCAGAGAACTGTGGGGCTGCTGGACTCTGAGCTCAAAAGCGTCCCCTTGGGGTGGCGGCATCCTCTCCTCCCCCAAATGGAGGAAGGGACAACTGCTCAGAACCAGAGCTTACTGGTGCCATCCAGATACTGCGAGGCAGGTGTAACACGAATCTTAAAAGGTCTTATAACAAGCTGGGAGGGCGCACACCATTAATCCCAGCACTCAGGAGACAGAGCCAGGTGGATCTCTGTAAATTCGAAGCCAGCCTGGTCTACAGAGTGAATCCAGGACAGGCACCAAAACCAGAGGCGGGGGAAATCAGAGCCAGATAATAAGGTCAAAGCTGAAAGATCAGAGAAACAGAACAGCCAGTCACTGGCTTACCTCTAGAAATCCTCAGCCTCAAGAGAGCAAGTTCCTGTTTCCTCACGCCTTATATACCTTTCTGTGTCCTGTCATATTATTTCCTGGGATTAAAGGCGTGTGTCACCACTGCCTGGTTCTGTTTCTCTCATGTAGCCCAGTGTGGCCTTGAGCTCACAGAGATCCAGCTGGATCTCTGCCTCCCAAGTGATAGGATTAAAGGTGAGTGCTACCACTGCCTGACCTCTATGTCTATTTAGTGACTGGTTCTGTCCTCTGATTCCCCAGGTAAGCTTTATTGGGGTCCACAAGATATCACCACACACACCCTCCCTTGAAATGTTCAAAAAAACTTCTATCATTTTAAAGTTTAAGGTTAAACGATTTCTACATCAAAATCTGGTCATTAGTGGGAACTCATGAAATTTAAACCAACAGCTGTGAAGCCTGCATGGGACTGGACTAGGCCCTCTGCATAGCAAGACAGTTGTGTAGCTTGATCTGCTTAAAGGGCCTGCTGAGGGATATCTTTCTGTACGCTGTGAATATGTGTTGCTCTGATTGGTTGATAAATAAAGCTGTGTTGGCCTATAGCAAGGCAGTTTAGAGGCAAGCAGGAAATACAAGCAGATAGACAGGAAGAAGAAAGGAGATGGGAGAGAGACGAGAGCCAGCTGCCCAAGGAGCAACATGTAATAGGGCACAGGTAAAGCCATGGAACATGTGGTGATACACAGATTAATAGTTATGGGCTAATTTAAGATATAAGAGCTAGCTAGCAAGAGGCCTGCCGTAGACTATACAGTCTGTAAATAATATAAGCCTCTGTGCGTTTACTTGGGTCTGAGTGACTATGGGACCAGGCAGGACACAGGATAACTTCTAACTACAGGGGCCCCCTGGCAGTAGGATCAGAATCCATCCCTGGTGCATGAGCAGGCTTTTTGGAGCCCATTACCTATGATGGGACACCTTGCACAGCCTTGATGTAGGGGCTTGGACCTGCCTCTACTAAATGTAACTCCCCATGGGAGGCTGTACCTTCTTATAGGAGGGAATGGGGGGGTTGGGAGAGAGAGGCTGGAGGGGTGGGAGGAGGGAAAGGGGGATCTTTAATTGGTATTTAAAATGAATAAAAAATGTTTCTTAATAAATAAATAAATAAATCTGGTCATTAATAGATATGATAGCTCAAATGAATCTCAAAAAGCATTGTGCTAGGTCAATGAATTACATCCACAAGTTATGTACTTACCTCATGACCCCATAGATAAGTTATTCTTTTAGAGAAGCACACTCCCAAGATGAAGAGTAAATCAGTGATTCCCAGGGCTTAGAGCTGGAGGAGGGGTTGAATATAAACTATAACATGAAGGAAACTGGGAGACTAAGAAGATAATCATGTAGGCTGATCATAGCAGCTGGTACAAACATCTAGGCATTTGACAAAATTTAGGATACATCATGGAGAAGTTTATTATAGGTAACTTTGAAAAATAAGTATTTAAGTTGACACTTTATTAACCATGACTTTAAACTTAAAACCAGTTGTTTTTTTATTTTTAAAAAATTGTGACAGGGTTTCTCTATTATGTAGCACTGTTTGTCTTGGAACTCGCTATATATAGAGACCAGACTGTCCTCGAACTCCCAGGAGGGAATGGGAGGGTGGGTTGGGACCTACCTGCCTCTGTCTTCCCAGTGCTGGGATTAAAGGTGTGCACTATCACACACGGCTAAATAAAAATAGTTTTAAAAGGCATTGATTCTTCACTTGAACCCACAGAGTAACCAAAGCAGGATGGATGAAAGCCTGGCATCCATCTTATTTTGCATGTCTCCTTTACTTCAGGTCAGTCACCTGCTAACCCTACACATAAGCATGTTAATAACTCAAGGAATGTCTGTCTAAAAGGCAAAGGATGTCTGATCAATCTCATCCCCCTTCATGGCTGGAGGCAAAAATAAAGATAAGAGCAACTGAATTATCCTCCCATCAGCTTTCACAGGGTCCTGCACCAGACACATAAACGTCATTGTCCTAACCCCTCAGGCCCCTTGGATAGCAGAAGAAGCCCACAGACAGATCATCCCAATCATGAGAACACCCCCAAGCAGGAGCAGTCATCTCATAGGAACCAGTTTGTCCCTTCAAACAATAAACATTTCTTTGGAGAACCTTGCAGGACCAGACCTGAGATAGTGATCAGCCAGACAGCACAGAATGGCACACCTCACTCCCTGCCCCAGCTCTTCCTCTGTTGAAACCTAAAGCCCTGTCAGTGTCCTGCAGATGGACTTCGTCTGTTTCTCTTCCTAGTGTGCCACACAGATTAAATCTCCTTTCTCTGCTTTTCACTGTCTCTTGCCTCTTTACCACCCTAATCCCTTGGGACTCCCTGAGTCAAGACATTAGCTTTATCATTTTTTTATCATGATCCTTTCCTATCTGTATTAGTCATGATTCTCTAGAGGAATAAAACTGATAGAGGGGAAATTTATTAATCCATATATTAAAATTAAAATCCATACATATGTGGATTTATTAGAGTGGCTGACAGGCTGTGGTCCAGCTAGTCCAACAACGGCTGTCTCCCAACGGAAAGTACAGGAATCCAACAGTTGTTCAGCCCACAAGGCTGGATGTCTCAGCTGGTCTTCAGGATACGTTGAAATCCCAAAGAGTCAGGTGTAATGCCAGTGAAGGGGTGCCTCAAGCAGCAGGAAATAGGAACTTGTGAGTGGAAATGAGGCCAAGCAGGTAGAAAGTTAAAGCCTCTTTCTTCCATTCCAGTTATAAACATCACCACAGGAAGGTGCGACCCAGATTTAAAATGTTATCTTCATCCTACCTCAAATGAAACAATTAATGCATGAATTAAGTTATTGTAATTTCCCATTGACTTCAATCACAGGACATGGCAACACCAAGAACCGCCCGAAAGGATGTCCTGCATTCCAGACATAATCTTCTTCACCTTCACTATGGGGAAGGAATCCATGTTTCCCTTGGTAATCTGGACCAGTCAACCCTCCTAACAGTTATTCCTTTCTTAGCTTGTTGCTTAAGGGCATCATAAACCCAAAAGTAGCCAGGGGGAGGTCTGAGCTTCCAGTTCAGTGGAATATTTGCTGTATCTCCAGGAAGGAGTGGCTCCCCTCTCAGGAACCAAACTTTCTAGGCCAGCAGAACATAAGGTCACAGGAACAGGAAGTGAAATTTTTCCTAGTGATCACTAAGGGTGATAGTGAATGGAACCATTCGTGTGTGTGTGTGTGTGTGTGTGTGTGTGTGTGTTCATATATTCATATATATATATCGTATTATTTAAAATAACTTTTAAATTTAATTTTTTTTCTGGTTTTTTGAGACAGAATTTCTCTGTGTAGCTTTGCACCTTTCCTGGAACTCACTCTGTAGCCCAGGTTGGCCTCGAACTCACAGAGATCCGCCTGGCTCTGCCCCCGCCCCCAGTACTGGGGTTAAAGGAGTGCGCCACCACCACCCGGCAAATTTAAATATTTATATACTCTTCCCTCCCTTGAATTTATCCAGATCCTCCTCTTCTTCCTACCACTCAAACTTTAAGTTCTTTCTCAAAAAACACACCAAAAATTCAATACAACAAGATTCCAAAACTTGGATAACAAAATATACCACTAAAAAAGAAAAAAAACTAACCAAATTAAAGCACACACACACACACACACACACACACACACACACACACACCACTACTCCTGAATATGAGTTCTGTCCTGGAGTGATGGATATACCCAGTATTACTCCATTGGTAATTTATTTTTCCCTCTCCCAGCAGGTATAAATGTAAATTCTATTGTTAACTTTTACCCTAGTGACTAGGTTTACATTCATTCATTCTTTTTTTGTTTTGTTTTGGGTTTTGTTTGTTTGTTTGTTTGTTTTGTTTTTCAAGACAGGGTTTCTCTGTGTAGCCCTGGCTGTCCTGGAACTCACTCTGTAGTCCAGGCTGACATTGAACTCACAGAGATCCACTTGCCTCTGCCTCCTGAGTGCTGGGATTAAAGGTGTGGGCCACCACCATCCAGCTCATTCATTTTATTAAGAACACAACAAAAATAACAAGATAAAACAAAAGCTATCACATTAAAGTCAGACAGGACAGACCAACAGAAGAAGAGCCCCAGAGAGGGTGCAAGAGTCAGAGACCCCCTTGCTCACATGCTTAACAATCCCATAAAAACATGAACTGGGAGCCATAATACATGCTCAGAGGACCTGGTGCAGACCCGTGCAGGCCTGTGCACGCTGCCTCCCTCTCTGTGAGTTCATATGAGCTTTGCTCTTGTTAATTTAGAGGGCCTTGTTGTCTCAGTGTCCTCCAGCCCTTCCAGCTCTTACATTCTTTCTGCCTCCTGTGGGGCGTTTAGCCACCACCCCCACAGCTCCCCAGAGTTTTCTTGAGTACGAGCAGCAGGAAACATTAGATAGAAAGATTTATTGCGGAGAATCTTGCGGAGATAAACAGATAGAAAATAAAGGATAGCCTCAAGAGGGCCTGGAACCTTTTCCAACGGGCCCTGACTGGTTCTGCCCCAGGGTTTTTATAGAGACGCCAAGGGGTGGAGCAAAAGACCTCCTCCCCCAACACAGCCAAGTGCAGACCATCTCAGACACCTGCACTCAGGCCTGTGGTCCTGATCATCCTCTATTCGGACCTGCTGGGTAAAGCCACAAGGAACCCGAGAACGGGCTCCCACGGGACGGGCTCCCACAGCCTCCTCTTCCGAGGGGTCTCCTGAGCTCTGAGGAGAGGATTTTGATAGAGATATCCCATTTGGGGCTGAGTGTTTCAGGGTCTTTCACTCTCTTATAATGTCTGGCTTGAGTCTCTGTTTTTGTTCCCATCTGCTGCAGGAGGAAGCTTCTCTGATGATGGCTGAGCAAGTATCTATGAGTATAGCAGAATATCATTAGGGGTCATTTTATTACTGCTTTTTTTTTTCTAAGACTATTTTTTCATTTTGCCCTAGGTCCCTAGGCTATCTAGTCCCAGGTTCCTGGTCACCCAGGCAGTGTCAGATATGGGTTCCATCTTATGAAGTGGGCCTTGAGTCAGATCAGTTATTGATTGGTTGCTCCCACAGCATTGTGCCACCATTGTCCTAGCATATCTTGCAGGTAGTACACCACTGTAGACAAAGGAGAACCATTTCCTTTTAATGTGGTGGTTTGAATGAGAATACCCCCAAAAGGCTCATATGTTTGAATGCTTGGTCACCAATTAGTGGAACTGTTTGGGCAGAACTAGGAGGTATGGCCTTGCTGGAGTAGGTGTGGCCATGTGAGAGGAGATGTGTCACCTGAGGTGGGCTTTGAGGTTTTAAAAGCCCGTGCCAGGTTCTCTCTCTCTCTCTCTCTCTCTCTCTCTCTCTCTCTCTCTCTCTCTCTCTCTCTCTCTCTGCCTGAAATTTGTGGATCAGATATGAGCTCTCAGCTACTTCTCCAGGACGACGCCTGCTGCCTGGCACCATGCTCCTCAATATGATGATCATGGACAAACCCTCTGAAACTATAAACTAAATGATTTTTTTCTGTAAGTTTCTTTGGTTATGGTGTCTCCTCAAAGCAATAGAACAGTAGCTAAGACACTGTCTAAGGCCTTATTAACCCTAGATGGACTGGCTCTCCCAGGGATAGCCAATGCATAGAGATAATGAACAATCCACTCAAGAGAAAATTTGTGGACTCTATCCCTAGCACCAGGGGAGAAAAATAAAAGGACAAATATAAATAAACTAATCCTATAGCAACCTCCCTCATCTATCAGGCTCTCATCCTCTGGACCACTATCCCCCGATCTAAGCACTCTAGTACCCTAGCACCAGCAATCAGACAAGTAGGAATAGCCCAGCACCCAAGGACCTACTTAAAATCATCCAAACTGGCCAATCCCAAGCCTGCTTACTCTATCTCACCCTTCCCTTCCTATGGAGACCATAATAACTAACAGCTCTTACACACATTATCCCTCTGCCTTCTGACTAGCCCTGGAGATCCTCCTTGTACTCCCTTCCCAAGTCACATGTTCCCCTCCTTAGGATCTGTGAGTGACAGTCTTTTTCCAATGACAGCCATCTTAAATAATAAAACCTGTATTTAAACAGGCACACGAATTATTGGGAATCACCAAGACACTTCAAGAGAGAATGAATAGATGTGGTTTGCTGTCACAAATGAAAGATTTGTTCCAGACCCAAATACTTTTAAGGTGGCT